CGCTGTCTCGATCGTTGTGATGGCTGCAGCCTCACATCAGCAGCATTGATAGCACGCGGCTGAAGAACACTTCACGGGGTGACAGCATGACGGTCCATCCTTCATAGTTTTCGTATTCTTCCTTCCAATGCTTTGTGACGAGAGAGATGCAGTTGGCTGTCGCAATCATTGGCAGCAGAAGGAAGGAAAAGACACGAGTGGCCTGACAGAGAGGGGAAATCTCTCGTGTGGGTAACTTGTGTGAGGACAGAGAGGGGCTCTGCCGACTCCAGCAGCAAAAACCACTTTTTTTGTTTGCCTGCAAGTGAGTCTCGGAAGTAGACCTCTGCGGTGTCGCTGCAGAAATTGGCTGTGAGCGCCTGCACCGAGTGGACAATCAATGCGACAGTGAAGCCTGCTGTGTCTTTTGGTCATTATTTACCTCCTGCCAGTTGGAAACCTTGGACAGGTCACTAAAGTTATAGAAGAACAAAAGACAAGCGATGTTCGGATGCGTGTGACATCCGATATTCTCGATTTTACTCTGTGAGGGAGTCCTTCGGTCGTGTCTTCATCAGCTTGCGGAAGACGGCACAGCAGCGAAGACTGTCGAGGCCCACCGACTCAGAGTGGTCCTTTAGGAATCTCTTCGTGGAGGGCACCGCCTCCTTAAGGATCTCCAGAGAGACAGAAAGCACTATGTCTTGTTCCTCTCCTTTCAGAACCACCGCCCCAGTGCAAACAAGAAACCGCACTGATCCCGCAAACTTCGACATCAGCTGCTCAATATGACAACGTCAAGCGTATCAGAAGCGAGACCGTTGGCGGGGATAGGTTCATTGTGCGGACCATTCCGATGTTTGCATAACGTCAACGTCGGCCGGGGGGAAGTGGAGCAATATCATTGTCGACTTGTCTTGATTCTGCTGCAGACCCGCCATTTGAGACAGACTTGTCGGCACCGTGCGGTGCGGGTGGCCAGGAGACATCATCGCCGTCGGCGTGTCCCTGAGACCTGCATGAGTTATGATGAATGTCTGTGTGCGCACACCTGCGCATGCACGTGGGGACTTGGAGTGTGTGTATATGATGAATGTCTGTGCGCACACCTGGAGTCATGCACGTGTGGACTTGGAGGGCGTGTATATGATGAATGTCTGTGTGCGCACACCTGGAGTGCGTGTATATGATGAATGTCTGTGTGCGCACCCCTGCGCATGCACGCGTCGACTTGGAGTGTGTGTATATGATGAATGTCTGTGTGCGCACACCTGCCTGGAGTGCGTGCATATGATGAATGTCTGTATGCGCACCCCTGCGCATGCACGTGTGGATGTCGACACGGAGTGTGTGTATATGATGAATGTCTGTGTGCGCACACCTGCGCACGGACGCGTCGACGCTCGGCTCTGAGTGTGTGTATTTGATGAATATCTCTGTGCGCACACTTTGTCTCTGTGCGCACACCGCTGCTCTCGCTATGTGTTCAACACCTACCGAGGATTCGCCGCCCTTCACCCGCAAGACTCAGCCGGCTGTCTGTGGAGCTGTGAAGGCGTCACACAGGGCGACTCCGTGGCAATGTTCGTCTACGCCTGCGGCAGCCTTCCCCTCATTCATGCCCTGCGGGCTGCCTTCGCTGAGGAGGGATATGATATGCCGTCGAGTGGGGCACGGGACGACTCGGACAGCGATGGGTCTAGATCAGATAAGGGCGAGCACGAAAATGCGCCATCAGAAGGGCAAGAGAGGCCAGAAGAAGCCTGTGACACGCCACCAGAAGCACGGGGGGATGATGCGGGTGTGCGGGTGTGTTCTGGTGTAGAAGGTGTTGGTGTTGGTGAGGAGGAGAATTCGTCGGCCTCGTCGGCCTCTTCATCTGGCGCTTTACTGCGACACTGCTGGTATGCAGATGACTCGTCGGCGCTCGGCAACCTTCACGGCATCCTGGTGTGGTTTCGAGCCCTGCGCCGCATCGGCGCCTCATACGGCTATCACCCGGAGGCCGCCAAGTGCTTCCTCATCGTCAAACCCGAGCTCGAGCAGATCGCAAGGGAACTTTTCGAGCCCGAGGGGATGCAGATCGTCACGGGCAAGAGGTTTCTGGGCGGCTATGTAGGCGATGAGGAAGGGACGGCGGCCTTCCTCTGTGAGAAGGTCGAGGGATGGGTGCACGGCGTGCGCGCGCTCACGTCTGCTGCCCGCAACTTCTCGCACACCGCCCACGCGGCAATGACGAGGTCTCTGCAAATGGAGTTGGACTACGTCTTCCGTGTCGTGCTCACCGACGAGTCTGCTCTCAGCCCCCTCCACGAGGCCATCGCTAAGAAGCTGCTGCCGGCCCTCCTCGGCGGCCCTGTGACGCCGTCCGAGGTCGACCTGATGCTGCTGCCTGCCCGCTTTGGCGGTACCGGCATACGTGACCATCTCGACCGAGCCGCAGCCGCATACCCCGCTTCCCGCGCGGGCACCAAAGTGGTCTCCAAGTCCATCCAAGGCAAGGCCCCTTTCCACCCTGGCGACCATCGTGCCACCATCCGTCACGCCCTCACCCAGAGCCGGCAGCAGCAGGACATCGACCACAAAGCCAAGAGAGAAGCCGCCCTTCCCCACATCGACCGCCAGCCTCATCGCGTCCTCTCCCGCAGCGCCGAATACAAGACGTCCGGCTGGCTGACCACCCTGTGCGAAAAAAGGCCGGTGAGGACCTTTCCTGTACTTAGCTGAATAGAGGATCTGCTGGGGGGTAAGTCCCAGAGTAAGAGTGCTTTTACTTTGATAAGACAGATGGACTGGCCAGTCAGTCAAAGTTGTTTCTGTCCATGTATGGCATCATGAAGGGTGGTCAACACAGATCTCACTTCGGTGATGGCTGATAAGATCGTGTCTCCTCAGAATGCTTTCCTTGTCTTTCCTTGTCTTCTCCTCTCTCCACCCGTTACACAGCAATATACCCTAGCTCACAAGCTCGCAGTGGTTCGTCTTGCCAAGCTGGCAATCCTGACACCCCCTCTCAAGACGAACCAGCACGGCGTGTACTCAGGAAAAGAAAATCACGAAGAAAGCACAAAGGCATCCAGAAAATGACCATTGGGTAGCGAACGCGCACACACAGTGGACAAGTGCACAGATCAGCATAAGCATGAGCACGAATGGTGTGGTGTGTGCACAGATGGAACAGTTACAGCATATCACAACACATCCACGATGGCCTTCCTTCCCAAGTGACCACAACACACCAAGGAGGTACACAGATGCAGACTCATTCATCCCTTGTTGCCCTTCCACGTTTCAACAAACTCACTGCCATCTAACCCTGCCTGTAACTCTCTCACTCAGGTACTTGTGCGCTTCACGCCCAAGTCCCTTCGTGAGTATGTCAGCTATGTTCTCACTGGTACGTACGTATCGAACAGCGAGAAAGCCTGACTGAACTAGCTGACGTATGTAGTGATAACGCACGTCAATGTGTTTC